TGACTCGATGAAAGTCGACCCGTAAAACCTGGGCGAAAAGATGACTCCAAACGTTAATTAACTTCATTAACTTGTTTCTGAATAGCTTGCCTTTTTTTAGAAATTGTTCTTACGGAGAGCATGCTCCTGAGTATCGAATCAACTGGGAGATATAAACCCCATATGCAGGTGTAAAGGGTATACTGCTACATAAGTAAGGGAAGTTGACGATTGAAAAGTTGAAGTCATCACGTTTATCATAAAGTTTAGTTGTTAGGTTACCATTGACGTCTTTTTTTTAGTAAAATATCTAAATATGAAACAGATATGTCAGAATCTGTGGTATCTTTTATTTCAAGCTCACTGGGATATATCGAGTCGACATATTAATGAAAGTAATTATTGTTAATTGATGATAAGTCTTCGATACATCATCGAAATGTCGAGTCACAGCAAGTGTTTTCTTCTTCTCATGTAGAAGTTTTTGAATAAATTCTGCAACATATGAATACAAGAATAGGTCTGCTAATAAGGGGGCGCAATGGATACCCATGGGAATTCCAATACATTGTTGGAAGACCTAATTTCCAAAAACTACATAAACTCAAGCATCTTTTTAATTTTAGCTAGACTACTTGTGTGTACAATCAAAGTGCTTTTAAACAAAATAATTTTTTAAATGACAAATGACAAAGTAAGTATATTAACGTGTTCCATTTTTATTGAAAACGCAGCTGTCTATGATGTCAAAAAGCTTGGACTTTATAGTGGGGAATGGTTGTATAAAGTGTTGAAAAGTCGTACGTTTTGATGCTATTGATTTTAGTAAAATTTTGTGATTTCAAATTTTCCAAAAATTCTTTAGAGTTTTTAAGTATCCACATCTGATTTACACCACTTCTCGAATATACTGTCGTACTGTACTTCGGAAGTTACTCCTTCATTACCGTAAATATTTTAGTGAGGAGTAAAGAAAGAGGCTTGGAATCAAGAAATGTTATAGTTCCTGTAAATGTTGAAGGCAAAGAAACAAGGTTAGAGCATATACATCCCTCTTTTGGATGAGGTTGTTGGTTGAGGTGCAGTTATCTATGGCAATGTATTTGTATCTTCTCTTCTTCCATGCTTGATAACTGTCACAGTAGCTCAGTCAGTAGAGCACTCCCTCCGTAATCGGAAGGTCGTGTGTTTGAATCACGGCCACGACTGACCTAAGTCGATAAAAATTAGTAACAGGTCCTTCTGATGAGACCTTAAAAACCGAAGCCCTGTGTCACGGTAGGCGTTGGCACGATAAAGAACCCTCACTGCTCAATGGCCCTAAATGCCGAGTAAAGGTCTAAATTTGAAGCCCTCACCGGTATATGGTGACGTCTCTATACGAGTGAAAAATTCTCGAACGGGACGTAAAACAACATACAATCAGTCAATCCAGTCAATTGATTTAGATGTCTGTACTACATTTGGCATTGAAAATTGAAAGCCTGAAAACTTTGGTACATGTGCCTCTTTTTAATTTAAGTGACTATTTCTAAACATTTTGAATGATCTTTGGCTTTATAAATCGAAACGATGTCATACGTTGGTTTTATTCGACGATTTCCCTAATTATATTTCTAACAGTGACATGAGCACTCAGGCACACCAGGAAATAAAAAATAATACATATAGATATAGATATGTGGAATGAGATATAACTATCATTAAAGAAATGGGAGGAAAAATTGTATTTCCTATCAATTCTTATCGATTTAAAAAAAAATAGGGAACGCTGTTACTAAATAAATTAATTTTTGAACAATAAAGTTTCTATATTTACTCATCTAGGGCAAAATGAGTTGCCTAGGGAAAACAATTATATCCATTAATTTATTATTCAGAATTCCAGTATTCTAGTAATTCAGATGAAAAAGAGAGAAATTGTTCTAGACAATTCAACTTAAAAAAATCTTTCATTCTATAATACATACTATGCTTTTCACATTCCGTGAAAAAGATGTATATGTAGGGAAGGGGGAAAGGGGAGAAAAATAAACTTTTAATAAGATAAATTCTATTTGATTTAAACATATTTTATTGAACACAATCAATGGGATTGGACACAAGTTATACCAACTTAGATTGTCCTCTCCAACACAAACAAAATAACAAAATTATATACACGTGATGTACAAGCAACAAATATACAATATAAAAAAAGAAGAAAGAAAAGGGTGCAGAGAAATAAGAAAGGAAGGGAATGGGAGTGCAAGGAGAGAATCGAAGAAAGAAGGAGGGGTTGTAAAAGATACAGAATGGTTACGCTGGTTATTCATGAAAATCTTTTCGATTTTTTAATATATTTATGCACGGCTTTAACAATGTTGATATTATTTTGTTGACCCAAATTTGGGTCCCCAAATAGAATTATGTCAAGGTCTATTGCTCCTTTGTTATTTTGTACGGTGTGAAATAATTCTGTTCTAATTTCAGCATAATTTTTACAGTACAGGAAGAAGTGTTCAGTGCTTTCATTAATATATCCACAAGAACACTGAGTGTTATCTGAATGTCTAACCTTAAATAAATCTGACTTAAGGATGCTTACATTGTGTCTCATTCTTGTTAAAATTGAGTTTGTTTTTTATCACCATAAGAAAAATACTTTGGGGGAGATTCACCTTTAAAGAGTCTTTTTTTGAAAGCATTTACAGTATCAAGGTTTCTAATCTCTGTAGGCAAAGCATTCCATACTGATATTGTAGATGGAATGAATGAATTTTTTAATAAGTTTGTTTTACACTGGGGAATAGAAATATTATTGCGATTACGTAAATCATAATGGGTAGTTTGTGAGACATCAGGAGGTAATAGATCTAATAAATAGTCTGGCGCGAGGCCATATTTTATTTTATACATTAAACATAATTTTCTCTTTTCCCGTCTATAAGCAAGTGTTTCCCATCCTGTTTCGAAATATAGAGACTTACGAGGAGCATAAATAGGGAGACCAGTGACAATACGCGCAGCTTCTAATTGTAATTTCTCCAGCCTATCACAGTCAGCTGCGGAAATGTTATCCCATACTTCTGATGCATATTTAAATAGTGGCCTAATAAATGTGATATACATCTTAGTTAAAAAATCACGATTCAATGATAATTTTAATTTACGAAGAACAGCAATTTCTTTTGAAGTCTTTTTAATAATGTTATCGATGTGATTTGTCCATTTGCCAGAATTTGAAAACGTAAGTCCAAGATGACAGTGAGTAGAAGATGGGACTATTTCTTGATTGTCAAACTTAAACCGTAAATTGGATACTTCATCTTCTTTACAACCAAATATTAATATTTTAGTCTTATCAGGATTAAATTTTACAAGCCAGTTTTTTGACCATTCGTTAATTTTTTCTAAATCATAATTAGTAAATCTTTCTAAGTCCTGCAAGTTTTTAAAGGTGTTTGACACAGATGTGTCATCTGCAAATAGTCTAGAGAGACCCAAGAGTCCACACGGCAGATCATTTATATAAACGAGAAAAAGTAAAGGTCCAAGAACAGAACCCTGGGGAACTCCTGCTTTGGTTCTATAATTTAATTTACAACCTAAAACTTACTTAAGTAAAATATATGACACGGCTTGCCTACGCTAGCTATTAAGTTGGTTAATCCCCGATTCCCTAAGATTTCTGGCAAATTGATCTGATTTATTAGCATTCGACCAGTTGTTAATTCTGACGATTTTTTAGCATTCCCATACAGAAGTAAAAGTCACTGCAGGCACCAAAAAACGCTTGCTTTTAATTTACACCCAAACACCATCTGTAGAAAGTGCCTTGTCAGCATTGTCAATCTATTGATGGTTTTTCTGATCTGAAGTTTCGTATCATGTATGTATTCTTGAAAATAGTTTACATGTTTTGTTATCCAGGTGTATAATATATGTAGTTTTCTTTGATGTTTGATCTTTCATGATTTTTTTTTACACTACCTTTAATACCCATTGAAACAAAATTGATCTTATCCTTTATTCATTTTTATGTTCATCTTTTTCTGACTTTGCAACAGATATGTTCATGTTTATGAAATTTCATATATGTGTGTGTCTGTTTTAAATTCATTGATAATGTAAATAAATCAGTTTTTCTTTTCATGCAATCTTATTGTGTTTTTCAGGGTTAAACTTTTGACAATGTATTAACATAATTAACAGGTGCCATTTTGACCAAAATTATACCAAATTAGCATTCTATTCTAATAATATTCCTGGCTCAAAACGACAGGCATCTTAATTCCATTCGTAACCATGGGACCCACTGCATGGGGCCTACTGCAGCGATGTCTTTCGGAGAAATTAAAAGTCTTGGTTGTTTTTCATATCTAATGAACCCTTAAGGTAAAAAAAAAACAACGTGTAACACACACAAAGAAGTGTCAACTGCTAACTTTCCGTTTAATTTTCTGTCTACTTACGGAAAACCCTATTTGATTGGTGCTTCTCAATGAAAGAAGAAAAAAAAAATTAAGTTTTTCAGGGTTCCATGTTCACATTTTGTTCACGAGAACTTTATTTTCGCCTAATTATACGAGACCATCTGCTTGAGAAAATTTTATTATCGCTTTTATTTGTATATTTAATATAGCAATAACCAAAATTTTCAAAAAATAAATACCCAATTAATTTCTCGCTGAAATGCGATGTTGCGAAAAAACGAATTATGAGTATTGGTATTATTTTGAAAGTCTTATATCCTGTATATATAGTTTTTGTGATCCCGAATTGATACATATGTGGGAGTCTTGATATACTAATGCATACATGAAAGTGAAATCAATTTATCAATTCAAATTATCAATATATTCTTAAATCTGATTCTACAGTATGCATATGACTGGATATTATGGTCAGAATAAACGTCCTTCCACAGTTTCTGTAGACAATGTTGACTAAAATTTTATTTAAAATCACACTCTTTCATACATTAGGAATACCCTGATACAGTTCTACTATAGCATAAAATTGTTATTTAATTGAAAGAAACATACAAATGTACCTGAATTTATCCAAAACTTATTATAACTCTCACTTGAGTAGTAAATGATTAACTTAAATTGATCAATGTATATTGTACTAGATTAGATGATTACTACTTTCCGAGTATAATATACTAAATGAAATTTTCATAAATATATAGTTGTAGTTTTGAAACTGAAGCGTCTACCTTATAATTAAAAATTTGTACCCTTGGAAAACTGTTAATACTCCTATAATCTGTTCCCCAATTTTCAATCCTTAATCTTTCTTCCTAAGCATCTTTTGAAATATCAATAAATCTCCTTCATATGTCCAGTAATATATACACTATGACAGTCAATGACAACACGCCAATGGAAACCAAGTGAGCGATTAGAAGGAAAATCCTGATCCTAGAAAACTGAATAAAAGACACAAAAAAGGGTAGTTAAATCTTGATCTTAATTTTTTTTTTAAATCAGAATAGAAGATTTATCAATGAAAGTCAAAAGAATCCTTTATCATCAACGCTGCATTAATTTAATATTCTCTTAGTCACTACTGGATGGAACTCTCTAGGAATCAATTTTATTGAATGTCTATGATGTCATAGAATTTTCCATCGTTTAAGACTCGTAATCATATTAACATACCTTGCTATTCCCACTCTGCTTCTCAGACTTCTTATTGTCATCTATATTTGTCATGCTTATTGTATTTTTTGAACCTGTTTTTTTTTTTTAAGAAAATAAAACAATTATTAGAATTATAGTCATGATTATTTAAACATAGATGCATTACATACAAGGGTTTCTATATCAAGAAATTTATTTCAGTAAGTATTTGTTTTTGAATTTGGCCCAAACTCTTTCACAGGTTATACATGTAAATATGAGAGAGAGAGAGAGAAAATTACCTGTAGTTTGAGTGCGTTCACTCATCTTCAGAATTTCAAACATAACTTCGAACAGAACAAATACTGCAATATATACGTACATTACGTACGTTGCTCCGATTTTTACTCCAGCTTTTGTCAATTGCAGACCAAAAATTATGTTAATCACTGAAATGAACACAACATTTGATAAAATTAATTTCAATGCAAAGATTTCCAAGTAGTCTTATAATTCAAAATATCTATATATAATTACTTTATTGAGCGATGTCTTTACTTTTGAAAGGATGAGAAACCCAGAATTCTCAAACGTTTTAATTTAGTTATTACCTGCTAAAATTTGGGCAGAAACACCTACAATAAAATGAGCCCAGTTGAAGTATTTTCGCCTGTCATCGTCCGGAGAACACCGAAAGAACGACATGATTGGCTAAAATAAGAATAGATAAAGAAAGGTGTGATTGGCTAAAATAGGAATACATAAAGAACGACGTGATAGATAAAGAACGACGTGATTGGATGAAATAGGAATAAAGATAGAAGCTTTAAGGTCAAATAGTTCACACGACAAAACTTTATATCGTGCTTCCTGAATATTGTGGGGGTTTTATTTTGAAAATTTATTGAACGATAAGTATTCCCCATAATGTTCCATATACGTATACTTACGTTAATACAAGTCAAAATCAAAACTACGATTCCTAGAATAGGATGGGAATTCAAATAATTTTTATCCGATGCTTCTAAATTCTGAAATTAAAAGATCCTCAAATTTCTAATTCATCAATTAATCATATATTCAACATGTAGCAAATTTAATTAATAATTAATAAATATTTGCTTTATCAGAGTGAAAACTTATAATTTTTCTTTGCTAAAAAAAAAAAAGATATGGTAAATTACAGCAAGGCAAAGATCTATGCGTAGAGTTTTTTTTTTTATCTATGTGTCCAAAGATTCTTTTACTGAAATTCAAATCTGGTTTCCATTGTCTTACATCTCTATATTTCTCTGCATCCAGTATAATAATCATAAAAGACGTCACTGTTAGAACCAAGACGAGCACCATACAGGCACGATGAACCTAGAAATTAATGATGAAAATCTCATGTCTCATCAAGACAATATTGAAATTTAAAAAATTGCATTTAACCTTTTTTAGGAACAAATATTTCGGTAACAAAAAATAAAATTCTGCTTTTCTTTTGACTAATATTTTTGTGTGTGTGCACGGTACGTAGTACGTGTACCTGAAACCAGATTTTTTGCCCCAGAATTACTCTTTCGCTCCATTCTGATTTAAAGTATCTGGCAATAACCAAGCCTACACTCGAGAAGATCATCCAAGCTAAAACCATTACAAGACCTGTAGCAAAATAAATAAACTTTCATTCACTTCAAACTAGTTTCTAAGTTATATCTAAATCGTAAATATCATATACATATATTTTTACTGTGACTGTCTTCTCAATACATGTAAGTTAATTCATATTGTAATTGGGACAATAAAATGCACTAGTTGTGAAATATAACAGTAGATTCCCACAACTAGAATATTTTTGATAAAAACGAATATTTATATAGTAATGATACAATACAGAACATTGTGAGAACTCTAAACAATGAAATGTATCATTTTTCTTTGTACTTTTTCATTTATTCGTTTTTTATAAGGATGATGGTTTGCATAAGGTAGCATGAAGTTTCATATTTTACATGTGCTTTTCATTGTCATTTTACTGTTCTTAAAAGAAGTGAAAAGACAGATCTAGATACCATGTAATTTTGCTGTTGTCTCTTTCAGTTTCTTCCCAGTGATGACTTCAAATCCAAATAAATCGACAGCATGCTTTGTTCTGGGAGGTTTGTGAGCATAATGTTCCTGAAGAACTCCATCTGAAATATGGGGATCACACATTTGTTGGAAAAACTTATGTACTTATGTACAGGAGAAAGAATGATGAGGCTAAAGAAGTGTGGATTTCTAATCATTACTTAAGATAGGTTCTTATTTCAACAAAGCAAATGTTATTAAAGGCAATGGAACAATAAACTTTTGATAACTTTACAAATTTTCAAAATTATTGTCAACTGCTGACTCAAAAGTATTAAGTAAATTGAGCAGTTACATATCTGGTATATATAAACATGTCTGCCCTCCATATTTAATTGTTTGACTTGAATGTATTTCCCCCATTTTCTTGTGTTCTTTGTATATTGTCTCTGTACATATTGAACAAAGAACCTCGTGTACCATTAAAAGGTCTGAGAGTATAAATTAAACTTGAATGGTCTCAATTCTCTCAATCTCGAGTGCCTCTGGGCTAATTACATATTCCGATAGGATTGATTACATTACCATGATTAAGGGACTTCTATTTATAAGAATTTTACCTGTTATGAATCCTTCTGCAATAAGAAGGTACCATTTTGTATTAAGATCGAAGATTTTTGGATTTGTTGAATTGATTTGCCTGTCAAATGTACACTCAAATATGGATCCTGTAGCAGAAGTTACAACATTAGAAATTTTCTCCAGCGGCTGAAAAATAAAATGGTGTATATCAAAAGCAGAGTAAATTAGTTTTGTATAATGAAATCAAAACATCAATTTAGCAATGTAACGCTTGAATATATTTGTTTGTATTCTAAATTTGCAAAATGATATTGATTTTTTTGTGTTTGAATGTTAGATAATACCGATAAAATTTATCAAAACGGAAATAATTTGCAAAACTTGTTATGTAATGTACAATATCTTTACCCACTGTCAAGTAATTTATTTACGTATAGTTAAAATTGTTCCTTACTTTGAGATATAAATGCACTGTTTCAAATCTGGGGGGGGGGGGGGGTGTTGAATATAAAAATTCAAGGAAAACTTTGTGTAGGAGGAGATGCTCAATATACCAATTATGTCTTAATATACTCTCAATTACAACTGTGTTTCAATGGTTATATTTGTACAATGGGGGCTTCTGGCTTTCTATGTTACAAAGTCGTCTTACATGTAACTCCCAGAATACTTACATTAGACAATCTAGTGTCGTCTTACATGTAACTCCCAGAATACTTACGTTAGACAATCTAGTGTCGTCTTACATGTATAACTCCTAGAATACTTACATTAGACAATTTAGTCTCGTCTTACATGTAACTCCCAGAATACTTACATTAGACAATCTAGTCTCGTCTTACATGTAACTCCCAGAATACTTACATTAGACAATCTAGTCTCGTCTTACATGTAACTCCCAGAATACTTACATTAGACAATCTAGTGTACGTTTCTTCCACATTGTATCCTCCCTCTACTGATACTCTACCGGAGACGTATTTACAGGCTATTGTGCTGTCGTCACCCTAAAACATGTTCTAAAAATTATTAAACCATTCGATCTATTTCTACAATTTCTATACCGACGCAGAGACTTCATCATCTCCATTGTTTATTATACTTACGAGTATGTTAGATGCAAATCAAGCAAACAGATGCATTATACATTAGAACACAATTACAAACAATGTGAAAATTGGATTCTTATCAGGCTTTTGTTTTTCTAGGTTGATAAATGTCTGTTGATTTTAAGTTCAGTGTGCCATTGATTGATTTAACATTATCTCATGCTTTTTGGTCGGTACTTGTTTTACATGAATGGCCAGAGGCATTAATACCCTTATATCAATCCAGTTTTATTTTTGTTGATTATAAAACCCTTGTGCATATCCTTTAAGCCTTATTTTTGAGAAAAGTACTTTCCCAATTACAAATTGCAAATTACAAATCTGCAAATAAACTTTTTATCAACTTTCTACACATTTTATCTTTATTTCACCTCTGTATTTTCTATCAAACTCACATTTATCTTTTTTTTTAAATCAATTGCTACATATCTGCAACATATTGGGAGTTTGTTTTAAAAAAACAAAAATAAAAAAAAATAATCGAGAAAGAAATATTCAACCTTGGATTGTGTCATATGTAATCTATAATCAAATGTTTTTACAAGCCACTCGAAATTCTCAAGTTAAAAAACCTCAATTAATGCATTAGACAAAGAGCCTGGAAAACTCATAAATATATGTTTAATATCGGTATACAAAGGGTTAGATACAACGAACATGTACTGCGAATAGTTACCATGTCGTCATCATCAGAGAATCCTAAACACAGGTATTTACTAGATCCTGTGATGGTAGAGGTGTATTCAAATGTAATCTGATCCCCGTTCTTGTACCATGTGACCAGGTAGGTGCAATCCCCGGATGAACACTCATACGACTTGAAACAGCCTTTGGATACACCACATGCAATATCTGGAGAAAACCCATTTATAATCTACAAAAAGAAAGAGAAATCTTGACAAATTTAATTTAAAATGATATTCTTACTTTACTTCATATGTTCCCAACATTACAAAGACAAGACGAGCCGTGTTCTTTTATTTGATGCTTCTGTCTAGTTTTCTTCCTTTTTGAAGAAATAAACTCTTTTTAAATTTTTTTTTCACGCTGACAGCATCAAATTACCGTCAATTATTTAAGACAACTACCTTCATTGAGCCAAAAAAGCATTTGTTCTTGACATGTCAAATGAAAATTAGGTAACATTCATTTTATAAGAATTTATCCTTTGCAATAAAACTCATTTAAATATTTGTTAAACAAACAGCAGAAATGAATCAAATTGAATTAGCATTACAGTTTGACAAAACTCGAGAACTGTGCTAATATTGTTAAGTAACATGACTATGTCTTTTGTACTTTCAAAACAAATGATGTATTGTAAACCTTTGATTAATTGTCTTATTAGAGTAGAAAAAAAAATGAAACAAGCCTTTGTTTCCGTAAGCTTATATATATTTCAAAATATTCACAGCTTACAATGATCAAAAGAAAACATGCACATGTTTGTCCTTGTGACACTCAACTTACAGATACGATACTGGTTATAAACAAAAGCAAACACATATACAAATACAACCCATCAATAGTCATATGTTGAATGACTTTTTCATACTAATTGTTTGACCATTATTTACACACTGAATTGTCGACGGATTTTTCCGTTATTTCCCGATCATGACAAGGAGCACATGGCGGGTGTGACCGGTCGGCAGAGGATGCTCACTCCTCCATGGCACCTGATCCCACCTCTGATGTTTTTGGAGGTCCGCTTTTGCTCTGTTCCCAATTTGTATTGTTTCAATGGACTTTGAGCTTGAATACTGTCCGTTACCTCCATATTTCACTGTAGTAAAATACTCTGATACTATTGTAAACTATAGTATACTGTAGTATATTTTTTAGGGTAAAGATTCCAAGAGACTACTTTAAGCAGACAGGATAACATAATGAATACAGTCACAATAACTTCTCTTGGCTCAAAAAAGTAACAATATCTAGGATTTATACAGTGCTCCTGACAGGGTATGCAGCTGATAGGATTTGAAATATTATGAGATACAGCTTTCTCTAATCCAGTTCAGGGATAATGGTTAGGTTTAGATTAAAGCTTACTTACCTCAATGTGATTTATAGCGATGGATATCAAAATAACTGTCTTGAACATTATTCCAGCAGTCAAACCTGGTGATATTAAACCAGGTACGCAGAGGTCACTCCATTGTAAAGCTTTTAGTGGAACTGAACTTTTATATGATTCCTTCCGATGACAATTTCAACATAACTTATATTTTCACATATTAGTACTTGAAAAACTTTTTAAATTAAAACTTATATGATTCACAAAGTAAACATCCAGATACGTAATCAAACGAGGTCGATTTAGACAATGTCACCTCGTTCGTCAAGTGCCCCGGATAAAGGACAAAAATTACACTATCCTCAGGTGAACCTCTCCACGAGGAACAGGTAAAACCCACTGTATCTGACAGGTAATTTGGAATTCAAAACAACTGATTACGTCCCCTTGCTAAATAATGGAGTACATACGGGTAAGAGGTCGTTGGTTTCATGATATTGATTTTTTTTTAATGTTTACTTTTCGCGGTTTGTGCCCGATAAGTGCATGTACAGCGGGTATTCGCCAATTGAACGAAGTTTTTCCGAAGATTAAATGATAATTCATATTTTGTTCTCCAGCAATGCGGGTAAAGATAGATGGTCAAATGATATTTCTAATGGTGATAGTTATTCCATGTTGTTTGTTCTTTGGATGTAAGCTTAAGGGATTTTGTGCCAACAGAATTATCAATAACAAGGCCGTCGGAACGGGAAAGGGGTGCGGTTGGTGCGATTGCACCCCTCTCTTTAAAATTTGAAAAAAAATGTTTGAAACAAAATAAATTCATTATTTTATCTTTTTTTAAAGTAATGTTGCTTTATTTTTTGACATGTGAAAATGTATCAGAACCTACCAAAATGCAAAATCCATTTATTATGAATTCTATAGTTATAAAAGAATTCTGGCTCTGAGGAGGGAGTTTTCCTTTCAGACACTCTTACTCACCCCTTTTTCAAAAACCTGAATAACATTACTTAGTTTGTACATTAAAACATTATTGTGACTCAAGTGCGGTTTGAGGGAAAATTGCATATCTTCAGTTCGTGTACTGTAATTTATTTTTTGTGTCACGATGAAACCAAAGAGCGATTAGCATAGTTAATTCACCAAGGTAAAAGTAAATATAGAACTTAGTCACTACAATCAACTACAACAAACTCACGTTAATACCTAGATACGTCTGGTACTATTAACTAAACATTCTTACGTTTATTCTATCTCGTCATTGTCAGGCATTACAACAACATTACACGGGAAATTCGTCATAAAAATCTTAGTAAACAAGAATTTGCAGTGTAGTGAGCAAGAAATGGCAAATATTCATTGTTGGCTCAACATAAATTAATATTAAGGGAATGAAACTGTACAAATTGATAAGCCATTGTTTCAGGAACTCCATTGATTAAATTCTCCTACGCTATCCTATCCTGCTAACTCCCAAACCAATACAAAATGTTTAAACATTTATAATAATGCAATGTTTGATATTCAATCAATCAGCTCTCTATAAAAGAAATTCGTATCTAGAAAGATGCTGAGCCAGACGTCGCTATATATATATTGCTTAAAAGGTTTTAAATTAAATGAATTGAGCTAATTCTTAGTGAAGTTGAGGTTACGAAGCAACCTTAATCTTTTTTTAATTTTTTCTTAATTCATGCATTTTTCTGTTTTTGTTCCATATTTAAAAAAATTAGGAAGTCTGTTACTGATATGATGTAAGCGTGTAGCTAGGCCTTAATGATCTGAATTGTAATGAAGCTATGAGAAGGGATGTCCCGTGTTACATATTTATTGCTCACATGGTTATTAATGACGTTTTGTTTAAATCTGAATAAAAGATAAAAAGAAATATAAACTCAATATTAAGTCATCGCCAGATTTGGTCTAAAGCAATGATTCCGTAAAAGCGTCATATTACATTTGACTTATTCATCTGCATTCAAATCATCCAGAGAGAGTATGTTTATTTGTCTTGCAATTTAAACTACTTGATCAATATGAGAATAAAAATCTCTGTTTACATTTTTTTAAATCCCTTATGAGTCCCTTATAATCTTTAAAAGAAGGTGAAGAGAAAGCTATGGTTGTTGAATGAATAGAATAGCAAATGAATTACAAAATACGCCTCAATACATCACGCTTCATATTGTAAGAGAAAATAGATAGAATTTATAGAGAGAAATATAATTCAATGGTACAACTATTACATTTTAGCAACTTTTTTTTTAATTTCCGGGATGCTAAGAAGAATATTGTACTTTATTATCCATTTACTGCAAAATTGAATGGCATTGAATATACTCCCCTTCATTGCTGTATAATTCAGATATAATTTAGAAGTTTAGATAGTATCTGACATAAAAAAAATTAAATGTATTTGAGGGATAAATCTTATACACATTGTTTGAATTTTTAAAGTTAAAGAAATTTTATTGGCATTTTCTCCATGTATAAGAATTGTTTGCTTAGAATTGTGGCAATGATAAACTAGACGATTTAAAAAATTGCTGGTAAATATGAAACCAATCAAAACAATATCGATGAAGTTAGATTGATTATAGTACTCCTTTATCTTGATTTAATATAATAAAGATCCATGTAATGCGACCCAATCTTAAATGTTTATAATTAGAACTTCCTCATTCTAATAGAATTTTCAAAATAAAGATTACTTATTAATCTTTTGTGACAGAGAATCCTCAGAAGGCATTCGGTCGACTTCAGTCAACTGAACTTGAATCAAAACCAAGATATTTACTTTTTATCTCAAAGGCTGTGGTAGCAACAGTTCATAAGAAGACATCTGCTAGCTACCCTCTCTTAAATACAACCCCAATTGTAATTAAATTAACTGTAATTCCAAATAGATATATGTGTGAATTTTAACGATTTTTACATTTTTTTTTCATTAAAAATACTGTACATGAACGATGAAATAAAAAATGTTAAACACTAGGCAAAATGTTTATGATATTAAGGAAATGAAATTCTATTTCGGAATAATTGCGATATATAATCAGTGTTTTCAATGTAAATTTTGACCAGCTCGTATCTTGATTTTAAAGTGATATTGACTTTGTAAGAAAAGCTTTTAATGAAAAACATGTTTGAAAATTAACTCTTGAGAGTAAGTAAACAAGTGGCGTGGTTTAAAAATGTAACAAAATATGCAGTTTCAACTAGAAACTAGAAACATTCTGCTATTCAAATTTTGTTGGTATTTATGTTATTAGCAGACCTTTTTTTGTATTCATATGAAGCAGAATTTGTCCAAAAACTTGTACGTGAAAAGAAGAAATCACTTGCTGTGGCGTTCAACTCGACATTTAGATATATCGACGACGTATTGTCAATTAACAATGGCTATTTTCATTCTTATGTCGATACGATATATCCTGGTGAGCTTGAGATAAAAGATACTACAGAGTCCGACACATCTGTTTCATATTTGGATATTTTACTTCAAAAAGACGTTAATGGTAATCTAACAACCAAGCTTTATGATAAACGTGATGACTTTAACTTTTCAATCGTCAACATCCCTCACTTATGCAGCAATATACCTTCATCACCTGCATACGGGGTATATATCTCTCAATTGATTCGATACGCAAGAGCATGCTCTACGTATGTACAATTTCTAAAACGAGGTCAATTATTGACAAATAAGTTGATGAAACAAGAATATCAGCTGTCTCGTCTAAAGTCATCATTTCGTAAGTTCTATGGTCGATACAATGACCTTGTCAGCAAATACAATTTATCATTGAGTCAAATGCTGACTGACGTTTTTCATACTAATTGTTAGGCCATTATTTACACACTGAATTGTCGACGGATTTTTCCGTTCTTTCCCGATCATGACAAGGAGCACACGGCGGGTGTGACCGGTCGGTAGGGGATGCTCATTCCTCCATGGAACCTGATCCCACCTCTGATGTTTGGAGGTCCGTGTCTGCTCTGCTCCTGTTTTGTATTGTATAATGGACTTTTGAGCTTGAATACTGTTCGTTATCTCCATATATTTCATGCATACTTGATCATTGACTATTTTAAACGTTTTTTGTTGCACTCCCGACAGTGAACTTACTAGACTTATCAGACTCTAAAGAACTTTTAAGTATAAACTACACGAGAACAATTTCTGTGTGCTACAATAAACTTGTCGTATAATTTAAAATTATTTTAATGAATACTCTAAATTAAAAAAGAAACAGAAAAGTTATTAATATGAGTGAATACAATTAAAGAGAGAACAGCTTCTATATCAGTTAATAAAACTGACATTAAGTTAGTTTTAAATTAATCAAATAGAATGCTAATAGATCAAATTAAGATAATAAGTATGAACAGAAGTTATTTCATCTTGAACTTGGATCTTAAAAAGAAATTTGTTGCGTTCCTGGCTGTGGAAATATGGATCTGAAACACAGACAGATCCTGTAATTGAATTAATAATAGAGTAAAAATGTTCTTAGGGTATTTGCTCCCCCCCCCCCAAGAATAAAATCATAGTAGTAAAGTATTTTAAGGTTTTATTAGATTGGAAACAAACCATCAGTCGCTGCACCCCTGGCATAAATGGGCATTCACATATATTTGACTCTTATAAATTCTGCTCGTTATTCACAAAACATTTAGAGTCTGTATGTGGTAAATCAGTTAGTTGATTTAATTTGATTTGAACATATATCATTGTTTAACACAAAAGGATCAGAAACAATTTTTTACAACTCACAAGTTCTTCTCCTGGTGTAAGTAAAGTTAATACAGCTAGTACAATTGTCATTATACTAACAACATATAGTAAATAATATTGGCAAAATGAATTAAACAAATTGAAATGTAAATCAAATCTTCCAGATTCATTAATGAATTTATGAACTAAAATAAAGCAGTTCATAGCATAAGACAAAGTGTCACTACCCCATAGTAACAGATGTGTATCTATTAGGATTGTTTCTTCCAGTTTGTCAAAAAGATTGTTTCTCGCTATTATTTATCTCTTACAAACAAAGAAAAAATGATAAAAGTCGTCATTCTGAATACAAATACAATTAGGAGAAGCAATAATATTTCGTCTGTAAAGATCATAATTTAGCAAACAGTTGTGTCTTATTTGGTGTGTATAATATTGATAGTACGTTTACCAAAAGAAAATAATATTTCGGGGGTTTGGTACCGGTAATTATTTCTGTAATATTTTTTTTAATGTATTGAGTGAAGTTGCATCTCTGACTTCTAATTTCATTGAGTTCCATTTTCGAATAGTGTCGGGTACAAAAGATTTCTGTAAAGTTCTAATCTGCTGATTGGAACTTTGTAATCTTCACTGTTTCGTGTATTATGCAATGAAACATTTTTTTCTTTTAGGAGGAATGATACAGCTTAAGTACTCAGGTAATTGATTAGTGAGAATTTTGAGCACAGCAAGATTTACACTTTGAAAATTGTATTTTGGCACGATTCTCATACAGGTTTTAAAAAAAAACGTTTGGCAAGAAAACACTTTTTTTCAGTTTCACTTCTAACATAGTTTTTATTCAGCATCAATTGTGACCATAACTTGGTAAAAATTGTGACCATAACTTGGTAAAAACAAAGTAACACCAGTCTTAATTCAAATCTCAGTATATTGATTTTATGAGGAAACCATTTGTTTCAACATAATCAGTTCTTTATTTTACAAACCGTCCAAAAAAGTATAAAATGTCATAAAAAGGAGTTGCACTACCGAAACTTTTTAGCATCATTTTCTGACACTTTTTTGTTACTTGAGATCTCAATGAGATAATTGGCAGCAATTTAGGCAATATCGTTAGAAACATACTGAGACATATAGATTCATTCATATAGCCTGCATTTATGGTGCAGGGTTTTTCATTGTGTCAAGTCATTTTTTTTAAATTAACTTTTATGATAAAATCAATTATTGATATTGCAGTGAAAAAGAAGAATGTGTATAGTGAACAAAACCCTCATTTGATAAGTAGCCAATTTTTTCACTATGAAAAGAAAAAACTCCAGTTGTATTTAGATTTTTTTATTATATTAACGTTTAATTCTCCAAAATATACATTTTATAAAAGTTCAGTAAAAATATTCAAAATGACATTAGGACTTCTTACTAGTATCAAGGAAATAAGGCTGATGTCTTTACACCAGCTGTATAAAACATTTATAGAAATTAATTCTTTTTAGTAAATTATGTATATAGTAATTGTAATTCTCAAAATTAAATACATTTATGTTTCCTTACTCGTACTAGTGAGTACAAGATTGAACATTATGCCATTATTGGCCACTATCATAGATTATTAGTATCTTCAGAATGTTGAAATCTGAATAAAAAATAAAATTTCTAAAGCATTTCCTTTCACTTCAGTTTATGAGATTGAATAGAAACAAAAGATACCAATATGAACATTACACATACCTGTTCCATACCTACAAGGTACTACGAGCACTATCCTTTTTTAATAGCAATCAGCCCATTTCAAATTCGGTATTTATTAGCAAATTACACCATTAACCGATATGCACCTACTTACAAAAGGATAAGAATGCATTAAGCATTTCTATTGTCATTATTATACATTTGCGTTTGTTTGGGAATTAAAACTCATTGATTGGGGGTCGAAAGGAATGTCACAAAAATATGTACAATTATTTATAACAATCACAGGAGCAGAGGATTGCACGACATTAATAATTATAATGTCAGCAATCATCAATCAGTAGCTAAAATTAGCATCCTGTTAAAATAATGCTTATATATGATGAAAGTGTCAATATAGAATACAGGCAATGTATCTGATTTATAAAACAAAATTGCACTCACTATCTAAATAAATGGTTGATAAATAATTTTAAAAATTTCAGTGAAAATAAGTATCTTGATATTGACCCTGTGTTAAAGTGAGTATTATAAAAAAAATCTGCATTCATATATGTATGTACAGATTAGATAATTTCTATTACATATATTTAGGCAAGCTTCTAATTGTATTGAGATTCAATAGGCCATCCTTGATTTCTGTAAATCATTTCATTTAGCCCACTTTGCTGCGTTCATATATGTAAGTACAGCTTAGATATCATATTTGTATTACATATTTAGGTAACTTCTAATTGTTTTGAGATTCTATAGGCCATCCTTGATTTTTGTAAATCATTTCATGTAGCCCACTGTGCTGTAATTGTCTTTTTTCATATGCCCAGGAATATATACACAATGACAGTCAATGACAACACACCAATAGTAACCAGGTGAGCGATCAGAAGGAAAAGCCTCGTGCGAGAAAACTAAAAAAAAATAATATTACAAATATTATGAGAATACCTTGTTATTTTTACATTTGTTGACTAATAGAATATTTTGGATTTCATTATAAACATACCTTATTAGTTACTTCCGATTTCTCAGTTGTTTTCTTATCGGTTATATTTGTCATGCTTACATCATACGACTTGTTATCTTTTTGAAATAAAAAATTAATTACATGTAATACTATGCATAAGTAATTAAATAAGAATCAATATCAAAAGTATATCGTTTATACTCAGTTAGAATAAGATTTATTTCATGATTTCTCTCGAGTCCGTTTAACAAAAAATGATTTGAGAGAGAGCGAGAGAGAGAATAGAAAAAGTACCTTTTATTTGACCATTCTCTTGCATCTTTAAAATTTCAAATACAACTTCGAACATAACAAACAGAGCTATGTATACATACATAACGTATGTAGCTCCAACTTTTACTGCAGATTTTGTCAACTGTAGACCAAAAATGATATTTATCACTACAAAAAAAAAAACACACACACAGGTCACTTTAATTCAATTTTGTGTCTTTAGCAACCACGTTTTAACCGAAATATATTGAAGCCTTTACTTTTATAATAAACCTTTTTGATTCATAATATATTTTAGTAACCTGCTAAAATATGGGCAGAAACCCCGACAATAAAATGAGCCCAGTTGAAGTATTTGCGTCTGTCATCGTCTGGAGAGCACCGAAAGAACGACATGATTGGCTGAAATATGAATAAATAAAGAATGACATGATGGGCTAAAATTCTAATAAAGTATTCATTAATTGATTACTTTATCATTATTTAACGTCAATTTAGTAATACAGAAGATGTACTTCAGTCATTGTTAAAAGTTTATATATAAATGTAAGTAAAAAGATTATCAGAATCGATCTGTATTTACTATATAAGATACATACGTTAATGCAGGTCAAAATCAATATGACGATTCCTAAGATTGGATGAGAATTTAAATAATCTTTGTCAGAAGCCTCTAAATTCTGAAATGAAAATAATTAATAAAGCCATTTGACATATTGGTCTGAAATTAATATAATTAAAAATACATGTTCATGTACTTCATTCTGCATCTATTTCATTGTATTGTCATTAATAAATTAGGAAATTTATAGCAATGTATGTACATTATCAATTTGTGTATTTAGATTTAGCATCGATGAGCATCTTGGTAACCATTAATTATAGAATAAAAACATTAATACTGTATTAACTTACATCTCTGTATTTTCCCGCAGACAGTATAATGATGAAGAATGAAATCACCGTCAGTAGAAGCACTAATACCATGCAAGCACGATGAACCTGATAATTACAATATTATATAACTATTTTTGTTTCATTTTAATTGACATTTCAATGATATAACTGATTTTTTTTTTTTGTAAATTTTGTATACTATCATGTATGTTTGTGTGTTATAGTTGTAATGCCTACCTGAAACCAAACTTTCTGTCCTAAGATAACTCTTTCACTCCATTCTGATTTGAAGTACCTGGCAATAATCAGGCCTATACTGGAGAAAACCATCCAAGCCAAGACCATGATAAACCCTGTAACCGTCAAAAAAAGGAGGCGTATATTTTTTTTTACTCAAAACTACTTTGTGTATAATAATTTATCTTATAAACAAAATCTTCTTGACAAGAACTTTCTGAATCTGTAAGAGTAGAGGATATAAGAGTGGCACATTTGAGGAAATTTCTTTCATTAAAATAAATATATCTTACCTATGGAAGGAATTAACCTTTATAGAGTTAACTTCCTATTTGGTAAATCTTTATCTTATCTATGTATTCAGGCTAATTTGTCTCAAATTTTGTTTGGTATACGAATCTCATTTCCATGATCAGAGGATCGTTCTTAATTAAGTAGGAAAATGTAAGACACCAGCAAAAGAGTAAACTAAAAACTCTCGATTGGGGGGAGAGGCATTTAAGGGGCTCCTCTAAAATCTTTTCCATTTCTTCTGTTCAACACTAGTTGGGTGTTAATCTATTATACTATTTGCTCCTGAAACTGTACAAACACTTACCATGTATCTTTACTATTGGCTCCTTCAGTCGTTTTCCTGTGATGACTTCGAATCCAAACATATCGACAGTATGCTCAGAATGGGGAGTGTGTTCGAAATAGTGCTCCTGCATCATCCCGTCTACAATAAAAATTACATTTATTTCATATACTCAAAATATTGAAACACATACAAGATACAGAACTCCATATGTGTATTAAACATTCTCTTATTTCTATTCTATTCTGCAATATTGAACAAAAAACGTATAAACTTTATCTACTCCGTTAGATTGAACAAAGGTATAATTAAATTAAATTCCATTATATGAACTCTGTTAGTTTGAATAAAAGAACAATAGAAGCAGACTCCATAATTTGAAAGACTACTCACCTTGCTCTTTCCATTAGTTCCAGAGCAGTTGAAGACCAGATGGTTTAGATAGCTAATACTAGTATATTGATTGTTGTTTTTACCTCTGATAAATCCTTCCGCAATCAGAAGGTACCATTTTGTATTTAGGTCAAAGATTTTAGGGTTGGTTGAATTGATTTGCCTGTCAAATGAACACTTGAATATGGATCCTGTTGCAGAAGTAACAACATTAGAAATTTTCTCCAGCGGCTAAAAGAAATAAAATGTTGAATGATAATTTGAATATTTATCCATACATGTACATGTACTCATTTTTAAAATATTGTTTTTTTTATTTCAAGTATTATCAAATTATGAATAATAAATGTTCATTGTGAAATTTTCGTATTAAATTACTGGTTTTATTTTTTGAAACGATGTTTTCTTTTAGCTTAGACGATGTAGAGGAGAGTATCAATTTTATGCATCTAATAATATGCAGTGGAAAACTAAATGTTAATGCCTCTTTAATTCAATGATATCTACTGACGATTTTATTTTCAAGGATTGTGACTTTGAAGTTAATTCAAGGTCATGAAATACCCTTGAATTTTAGTCAAGATTAACAGTGTCACAAGTCTAATGGTTTCCATGTTGATTACTTGAAAAGGTAACGTTCAAGATTACAGTTGCAAACACACAATGTGATAAATAATCAGAGAGACCTTGTACAATAAGACTTTAACACAAAATGATTTCGATTAAAATGTCAAAGAAAAAGATCTTTACTTTCATCGAAATTAATTTATTAATGTATTGGATGTAGTCTAGATGACTTTAAAAAGACTTACATTAGACAAAACAGTGTAGGTTTCATCCACATTAAAACCCCCCTCTACCGAGACACTACCAGACACGTATTTACACGCCATAGTACTGTCTTCACCCTGAAAATACAGAAACAAAAATTTTATGGCTAAATGAATGTAACAACATTGTCTTTGTTTGTAAGGCTCATTATATTAAATGTATTTTAGAGGAACTTGGATTTAATTCTACAAGTGGTAATCCAACTTATACTCATAGTTCCCTTTCTAAGTAAGAAATTCTTTAAAATCATATGTCAGTTTTGAATATTTTTAATATTCCAAACAACCAAAATGAATTTGAATTACCATATTTATATTGGATTCCGAAACTTCATAAAAATCCTTAAAAACAAAGATACATAGCGGGTTCCAGTAAATGTTCAACCAAGCCTCTATCTTTACTCCTCACTAAGATATTAACAGTGGTGAAGGAGAAACTTCAAGAGTACTGTGCAACAATATATTCGAGAAGTGGTGTAAATCAGATGTGGATACTTAAAAATTCCAAGGAACTTTTGGAAAATTTGAAATCACAAGATTTTACCAAAATCAACAGCTTAAAAACTTACGACTTTTCAACTTTATACACAACCATTCCCCACGATAAATTAAAGTCCAGGCTTTTTGATATCATTGACAGCTGCTTTTTCAATAAAAATGGAACTCGTAAATATACTTACCTTGTCATTGGTCATTTGCAAAATTATTTTGTTAAAAAAAACATTCTGATTGTACACACAAGTACTCTGAAGTTGACATTAAAAAGATGCTTGAGTTTCTGATTGACAATATCTATGTGGTTTTTGGAGACCAGGTCTTCCAACAATCTATTGGAATTCCTATGGGTACCAATTGCGCCCCGTTATTAGCAGACCTTTTTTGTATTCATATGAAGCAGAATTTGTCCAAAATCTTGTACGTGAAAAGAAGAAAACACTTGCTGTGGCCTTCAACTCGACATTTAGATATATCGACGATGTATTGTCAATTAATAATGGCTATTTTCATTCTTATGTCGATACGATATATCCTGGTGAACTTGAGATAAAAGATACCACAGAGTCTGACACCTCTGTTTCATATTTGGATATTTTACTTGAAAAAGACGTTAATGGTAATCTAACAACCAAGCTTTATGATAAACGTGATGACTTTAACTTTTCAATCGTCAACTTCCCTTACTTATGCAGCAATAAACCTTCATCACCTGCATACGGGGTATATATCTCTCAGTTGATTCGATACGCAAGAGCATGCTCTACTTATGTACAATTTCTAAAACGAGGTAAATTATTGACAAATAAGTTGATGAAACAAGAATATCGGCTGTCTCGTCTAAAGTCATCATTTCGTAAGTTCTATGGTCGATACAATGACCTTGTCAGCAAATACAATTTATCATTGAGTCAAATGCTGACTGACGTTTTTCATACTAATTGTTAGGCCATTATTTACACACTGAATTGTCGACGGATTTTTTCGTTATTTCCCGATCATGACAAGGAGCACACGGCGGGTGTGACCGGTCGGCAGGGGATGCTCACTCCTCCATGGCACCTGATCCCACCTCTGATGTTTGGAGGTCCGTGTTTGCTCTGCTCCTATTTTGTATTGTATAATGGACTTTTGAGCTTGAATACTGTTCGTTATCTCCATATATTTCATGTGTGTTGGAATGGGGAGGGGCGAGTTTCTTGAGGTGTGCGTACGTTCAGGTAATCCGCAAAAATGAAAAAGTCAAACATCCATATCTTACATATCCGTTTGTCCCTAAACATTCATGGTGCATTATGGAACTTGCAGGAATTTACTGAAAATATTTAGGTGCAAGTAGCTTTACTTGTACTTCATAGACGATTTACTCCACAGTCCGTAAAACATATTCCTCATTTTATAAGTTGTTTGATGTTTCCAGTTCAATTTAACATTTGTATGAATGTCCATCTAGGGATTCACAAAGGACAGACCCTTTCTAACTTCCGCCAGGAATCTTGAAGAAGCTTATATTTCCACCTGTGTTAAATTAATCCTTCGGCTTTCTTCTGCAACATATTTTAAAAGAGACTGCTAACGGATTCGAATTATTTTTTTTTCCTTTAGAAAAAGTTCACCACAGAATGAGGGCGATTCAATGAGATTTTAAGACTTTTGGATATATCCGTCCCTATAGATACAAATACCTGACTTTCCCTTTTCTTTCTTCACAAACCGTTTACAGTGTGTCTTAAGCTTATAGGATACCTAAACTTTGGAGTGGGTGGAGCTTTTTTCATATATTCTTGTTCTTTATTGATTTGGATTCCAATTTATTTGTTACATGATAAATTGGAGTAAATTTTTATTTAATTTTCGGGATTTTATTTTTTCATGACTTTAATACAAAATTTTAAGTATAGATTGGGGAGAATGGAAAAAATAAGACTGCTTTAAAAGAAAAAAAATTGTGTTAATTATCTGTTTTTCTTGCAAAATTAAAGCCTTTACCAAATATGTTTTAAAATGCGATAATACTCGTATATTTTTTTAGTATCCCATGTCCTTAAATAGTTAACAACTCATTGGATTATTCAATCTTCTATAAGGAAAAAGTAAGCAACTGTTGGGGATGGCAAAATCGTTCAAATAGTTGCAGGGTCATCCAGTGAAAAATATATTTTTAATATTCCAAACAACCAAAATGAATATGAATTACCATATCTATATTGGATTCCGAAACTTCATAAAAATCCTTACAAACAAAGATACATAGCGGGTTCCAGTAAATGTTCAACCAAAATCTTATACGTGATAAAAAGAAAATACTTGCTGTGGCCTTCAACTCGACATTTAGATATATCGTATTGTCAATTAACAATGGTTATTTCCATTCTATTGTCGATACGATATATTCTGGTGAGCTTGAGATAAAAGATACCACAGAGTCTGACACAACTGTTTCATATTTGAATATTTTACTTGAAAAAGACGTTAATGGTAATCTAGCAACCAAGCTTTATGATAAACGTGATGACTTTAACTTTTCAATCGCCGTCTTCCCTTACTTATGCAGCAATATACAGTACCTTCATCACCTGCATACGGGGTTTATATCTCTCAGTTGATTCGATACGCAAGAGCATGCTCTACGTATGTACATTTTCTAAAACGAGGTCAATTATTGACAAACAAGTTGATTAAGCAAGAGAATATCAGCAGTCTCGTTTAAAGTCATCATTTCGTAAGTTCTATGGTCGATACAATGACCTTGTCAGCAAATACAATTTATCATTGAGTCAAATACTAACTGACGTTTTTCATACTAATTGTTAGGCCATTATTTACACACTGAATTGTCGACGGATTTTTCCGTTATTTTCCGATCATGACAAAAAAATGACGGGTGTGACCGGTCGGCAGGGGATGCTCACTCCTCCATGGCACATGATCCCACCTCTGATGTTTTTGAGGTCCGTGTTTGCTCTGCACCTATTTTGTAATGTTTAATGGACTTTTGAGCTTGAATACTGTTCGTTATCTCCATATATTTCACACATACTTTTTATTTGAAATAGGGTGTCCCTTGAAACAAAAAAAAATTAGATACGGTAAATTGTAATTTTTTTTCATATCATTGTATTAAAATTAAATAAAATTTCAAGGTATGATTTATACTTAATTCATCAAAGATTCAGTATGATAACCCATCAATCATTAAATTTTTCTAGGTAAAATACCTAGGAGCAACACTATCGACCCCATTTTAAACTCTAATCTCAAAAAGTACGTCTAGGTAATTATTTTTTTTCAGATAAGTTCCCATATACTAACCATTTCGTCATCGTCAGAAAATCCTAAGCAGAGGTATTTACTAGATGCCGTGATAGTAGAAGTGTACTCAAATTTCATCTGGTCCCCGCTCCTGTACCACGTGACCAGGTAAGTGCAATCTCCGGACGCACACTCGTACGATTTGAAGCAGCCTTTTGATACTCCACATGCTGTATCCGGAGAAAAACTTTGTATTGTCTAAGAATACAGAGGGAAAATATGGTTTACAAATTACACTCTGAAAAGAAAAAAAAAGTTTTATTGTGCGGTTTGGGGCATATGTATGAACATTTCATACTGACAGGGGTTTTGAAGTCCAATCAGTACAATTTATACAAAAAAAAATTAATTCCAAAGAAAAAGTCAAATTTCTCTCACATTTCATGCAGATATTGATCCTCAAAAGTGTTTTAAAAACAATTTTTCAGTGCGGTCTTGTTTGTTTTAGGAATACTTTTTAGAGTATGTGTCATTTTTATTCCATTTAATCCATTCCAGAAAGTAAGTAGGGTTCATATTTTTATTTCAACTCAAAAATTATCTGGTGTAGTAAACCATTTGTTTTTAATTTTCCTGTAATTAAAGTCCAAGGTATTGATCGCCATACTTGAGGTGATAATACAAATAGTTAAGAAGTGAGGATTATACTAATTGAATATTTTATTTACTTGAGTAATATAAATGCCTATTAAATATGTGTCTATCAAACATTTATATATATGATCTTAAGAAAATCAACTTTAAATTGCTAGATAGATATCCTGTAAGTTTGCAATCATCATTTTGAAAAAAAAAGCATAAATATAAATTTATAAAAACAACTTTAAATTAAATGGACATAGAAATAATGATATAACATTTGATGAATAAAAGGGGAGATATTTATCAAAATGTAGAAAAAAAATTGATTTAAAAATAAAATTTGCATATTCGTATGTATTTATCTTTGATGGAAATCGAAATTTTAAAGGCATCGTGGCAACCAACCTGGAGAACAACACCATAAAACAACAGGTATTAAAGTTACATGTTGAATAATGAATATGTTTTGTTCAAATATGTGCAGTAAAGGGGGTACACATGTATGCATTCCAAGTTTTCACATTTTACTAAAGCTGAACAAATTTATACTTTTTTATAAATTAATAAAATTCAGTGCTTTCTGAATACAACATTTACTGTTAGAATAAGATATAATACAAATTTTAAAGCAACTTAAAACAACAGAAGTAGAAATTAAATTTATACAAACAAAGCAAAACACAAACAACATAAAAAACGAAACAAAACAAAAACGCAATAAGATGTACATATACTTCTGCTACTGCAGTCACTGCAAAATTTTGAACAAAGGACAATTAGAAGTACTGGTATTTCTATTTGCTATAATAAGACTTTCATTAACTGTTAAGAGGAACTTCCTTTTGTCCGTAATTACGAGGGTTTTCATCCTTATGATTGGATGATTTAACTCACAAAGATGAAGATAAAGAACAGTTAACCATCTTAAAAATCTTTTAATGTTTCTCACAGAATTCAAAACAAATGCCTGGACATTTTATATAGCCAGCATCTTTTGCATTGAAATTCAAATGCTAATAAAATGAAATAAATGTCCTACTTTCTTTATCGCGAATCCTGTCCAAAAAAGCTTGTCTCCTCGGTGGAATACTAGACCCTAACATTCTTAAATCATAAGCACTAAACACAACAGCTAATAATACCAAATTTCCTTCACGGTGCTATCGTAATTAAAATTATTTTATTTGTAGCATTGCTCATTGCAATTCCAGATAAAATTAAGTTTTATAAATTTATGTGTTAACCCAAAGCTGATATAATCCTCTGATTATGAACTGATAGATGAAAAATAAAAGTTTCATATAAGTAATGGGCCTTAGAGATTAAATTTAAATGTAGCAATGAATTCAATCAATGTATTTCAAAAAAGGAAATTGGGGTTGGAAGAGTGTTTCAATATTTTTTCTTCTTTTAGGTACGTCGGTAATAGTTGGTACATTGAGAGAAACAAAAATATTCATCAATTAAATTAATAATATTAATGAACTTTTTTCTACTTAGTAGTGCATTAAATAAAATGTCAAAAATTACGAAAAATGAATGCAGCACCTGTTTCAATTTCCTTGCGAAAAAGAAAATCATCTTCCTAAGTAGTTGAATATGACTGAATTTTCTGTGAGGTTCTCTCTCTCTCTCTCTCTCTCTCTCTCTCTCTCTCTCTCTCTCTCGTGTTTGTTGTACAGAAAAGAGCGTCTGCTCTAATATTTTGAGTACGGGCAACTTTTCACATAATATGCTTCATTTGCGCTTCATACTGACATGACTAATACATGCATGATTGTAAAAAGAAATCCCCACGGTGAACTTTCTCCAAACCAAAAAGCACAGTCTCGGTTCAATAAGATAATTGAATTTTATGATCGAAAATCCGAATGAACCGTATGGCGATTAGTTAAGATCTCCATTTTTCACGGCTACTGCTTTCAATCGATTATTTAGTAAAAAGTAAATTAAGAAATATTTTTAAATAACATCAGTTTATTGACACGCCACCTGAATAAGGTGAGAGGGCAACGACCCTTGTGGCAATGCACTTTGGAAAACGTTTTCAAAGTGCATTAAAATTAGGACAAAATTAACACACTTTGAAAAAAGTTTTCAGAGTGCGCTAAATTTGCAAAATCAACGCTCTTTCTTTTTTTTTCAAAGTGCGTTAAGAGTGTACATCAACATTTTTTACCATGGAGACACTTAACGCACTTTGAAAAAATATGTGCAAAACAAAAATTCTGGACTTAGATTTTAGTAATAGACAGCATTATTTTGTTATATTTCTTCCGAAAAACTGATGAATTGATCTACCCTCATCGAGAACGAGGAGAAGACAGGTAGAAGGTCCCTCAGCCCAACCCTTTATCTTTCCTACCCAAATAATTGGTATGACATTGATATACTTTCAATAAATTTCAATTAACGTAAAATAGATCAAAAAACTGATATAAGCGTTCCTGAAAAAAAATGACGCACCCTATTATATTAAAGATTAGAGGCTCAGGGGCCATATCGCTGATCTGAGCAACAATAATCGACTGACTCTACAGTGTACTTTGGACAAAGTAGCTTTACAATATCAAATGCAATACAAAAAAAGGTATAAAATCCATAAATCATTTTTTCATATCTCTTAATACTAAACGAATGGATGTAAAAAAAAAAATATTGAGCGGGAATAAACATTTTTTTCATACTTCTAATCACTTGTCAAATAACTATAAAAAGACCATCATATTATGCGAGAAAATTTTTTCAATGGAAAAATCAAAATTGCCCCCTTTTCCTTAAGAAAAATTCGATGCTTTAAGTCACTTATCATTATAACATTTACGTAAATCTTTAATACAAAAACAAACACTTAAAACCTTTAAAACCTCTACATCTCCCGACGTAACGTCATCATCGAAAAGTTATCCATATATGATCAAATAATTATTGATCATACCTAACATTTGGAAGAATATTCAACAAGCACATTTTTGTCAAAGTGCGTTAATATGGTCGATATTAAAGCACTTTGAAAAGATTTCTTTTTCAAAGTGCGTTAACTTGGTCCCAAATTTAACACATTTTGATTTTTTTTTCAAAGTGCGTTTTAACGGACCTTTGATATCCGCAAAGTCGTGAACGACAAACATAGCATTATCTCTCAGGTGTGAAAAAGTGTAGAATCGCTTTTTTTCAAAAAGAATTATAGCAAAAGAAATAAGTAGGAAAAACGCCCCAAAATTAAGTGGAAAGTTGAAACAAGTTAGAGAGCATAATTACTGGTCTGTGTCAAATTAAAACCTGTTATACTCTTCACAGTTTCAGCTGATATAATACTATAATTACATGTACTAGCAATGTGTTTTCCGACAAAGGCAAAACATATTTACATATTTGTATGACTAAATCCGTCATATTTATAATCTATTGTATACCACATATTATTACTTATTTAGACAATAAAAAGTTTTCTTTGCTTATTAGTATGGGAATTGATGTTGCAGCTGTTGCATAAAAAATACATAGCCCACGTAAGCTGCTTATATAATTTTTTTCTGCAATAGCTGCAACATTAATTCTTATACTAACGAACGAAGAAAATATTTTATTGTTTATATTTACTTCTGTATAAATTCATATTAAGTAGGATTAAGTATGTTAAATACGAGGGTTGTTAGAAATATAAAAAATCGTATAATTAAGTATGTTAAATACGAGGGTTGTTAGAAAAGTTCACGGACAAGTTCTATTATGGGCGCACTATTTGAATGAAATAAGTAAAACTCTGTAGATAAAAACTATACATATTTTCCAATTAATATGCAAAGATTTGGTGTTTTCCGATGATCTTTAAAAACATACAGCTACATTGTTTAGATAAAACATGCTTTATGGAGCATGTTACTTTTTCGCACCTTTACATTACAGAGATATTTTTTTTGAAAATGAAAATTGCACTGTTGTAGCGCATGAAGATTTATGATATTTCACCTGTCACTTAAATATTCATAAAACGTTATTTGGCAAAATTTTGAATTAGATTGGAGGAGTTATGACTGTTTATACTTATATTATTATAATTATCAGTCATATATGTTAAATGCAAACTTATATAGTATCATCAGCTCATTTATATTTTTTTTCCTTACTTATTTTGTCTTCTTTTTATATATATGTATGTGTATGTATGTGTGTGTGTGTGTGTGTGTATGTATATATATATATATATATATATATATATATATATATATATATATATATATATATATATATATATATATATATATATATAATCTCTTTAGAATATACACATGTATATATTTTTTCAATGTTATGTAATTAATATTTACTTGTAACATGTATGACTTGACCTGTATTGTAGAGAGAACTTATATAGGCAGTGCCTGCGGTCCAATGCAGTTATGTTTAATCATAATAAAATATTGTTTAAATTAAATTATGACTGTTTATCGCTAATTATAGATGATCAATGCGTAAAATTAAAGCCAAGAATGGTAACGTCATTGAACGTATTGGAGCACCGCTCGAGCTATAAAAAAATGATGTCTGCAGAAAGGAAAATGCCCGAAAGAGACTAAAATGTTTTAAGATGCTGTTGGGGAATGCCTACACGTATCTAGTACCAAAATGTTCAAGAAGTACAACTTTGTAAGAATGGAAGGATTGACATTTTTGATTATCAACTTCTGCAATACCCCCAATATCCTACTTATCGTTGCGCCCATGGATTTGCATTGTTTCTCATACCTGATCGCTGCACTGAGTAGACATTGTTTTTAAGATCTCACTAAAATCCGATAGACATCTAAAATCACGAAAGACATTTTTAGAAAAAATATAACATGTCTTAATATAGTTATTCAATTTTTAAGTAAGAAAAAAAGACATGAAAAGTCTAAAGATATAAAAGATATTTATAATTAGAACTGTGAAAAAGCTTAACAGGTCTGGAATCAGATTGTTACGTCACCTAACGTCAAGTGATTGCTCCGTGAATCTTACGGCCGCACAGTAAAAATTATTGTATATTTTCAAAATTATAGTAAATGGGCCTGATTTTTTACATACTAATAAACAAAAGATAAGAATTTAATTAGACATACGACATTCTTCAAAACAATATATTTTCCGTAAATCAATGTGTCCAAGAACTTTTCTAAGTACCCTCGTATTGTATTATTGATATGAACATCATTTTTTTATTTCATTGATGGAAGAGCCACTGCTCAAAAACATTTCCATCTAAAATAGTTTTTTCTAAGAGTATCTAATTGCAGTGTAAATGTGTAATTCTTAAAACGCTACTAATCCTCGTACATTTATATCTTTATCCATCAGTTCCTGTAGTAAGAGTGGTTTCAAAGAAATGAAAAAGGATATTCTTTTAGGCAAAGCATCGTAAAGATTTGGAATGTCTATAAAATATGTTCTTTGAAAAAGTAAAACTTCGATGGCTTATACATTATATCTAGTATCATTTTAATTCTGCATAAAGAGGTATGTTAAAATTCGTTCGGATGTTTTCGAAAATTTTCGAAAAATTACACGATTCTTAATCGTTTGTACAATTTAGAAAACTTTTGGACGTTAAATAAAAAAATCTTTTGTACAATTTGGACAATCTTTTGTACAGTCATGAAAATCCTTTGGACGTTTTTGATATGATTCTAAATTTTACAAACAATTTTAAAAATCGCACAAAGTATATTGTGAATAGTACAAATAATTTTAAAAAGTGTACAAAATATGTTAAAAATCGTATAATTGATTATCTTTAACTATATAAACTTATCGTACAAACGATTTTCTGAACTGTGCAAAAATTTGATGTAAGCACCCCATTTTACATTATTGTGTTGCACTCCTGATATTTGACATGTATTTTACTTAGCATTGGTTTAAAAATTATAAAACACAATAACCCATTCTTTGTTTGTATATCAGTTCGTCAATTTTATATTTTTTTTTATTATTTGCGGCAAGTTTTTCATATTTTCAATACTTCAAAACATGATTATTTGGAATATGTTATATATATATATATATATATATATATATATATATATATATATATATATATATATATATATATATATATATATATATATATATATATATATATATATATATACAGGTAAACTTCGTTATCTCGACATCGACGGGAGCATCGGAAAATGTCGAGATATCCGAGGTGTCGAGATATCAGAGTTGAGACTTGACGTCCAAGATTTCACTGCACAGCAAAAGACTTCAATATACATGTAGACTGTAGCTCAACATGTTTCAAAATTCCCTCTATTTTTATTAAAAATCTAAGAAGTTATTTTAAAATTTTTGTTTATAATTTAACGTGTTCTTTATCGAAATCTTTCTAAATTCACAAAGTTTCAGCACAAAGTTACAGCATTCCCGTGTAACTTGCCTATTCGTCAGAACAGGATACGAAATGCGCTCTATAAACTTCGAACCGTATAAAGTCAACATCCGATATACGGAAAAAAAAATTAAATGCGGATTATTTTTTTTTCTTATTTCTTTCAGGAAGAATGTACATTAAAATTCATTTTTTAAAGAGATTTGTGTATCTAAACTAACGTGGTGTTGTTACAGATGAATGAATTACGGCTGATTTGGTCAATCGTGTCGTTAATTGGATTGTTTCCTGTTGAATACATTTTAACTACAAAATATCATTAAAACATCTTTTAATTCCTTATTTTGAATTTTTCAGTGTGTTTGTTATTCATTTTAATTTAGTTACCTTTTTCAAATTTAAAAGTTATGTTAGGTTTCGATAAAAATAACCGTCTGTACATTTACGCAGAATCGTGTAGATTTAGCAGTGATATTACCCAAGCTGAACATTAAGCAATAAACTTCTCAGAGACGCCGAGGGGCTTGGGATTCACCTACAAACACAGTCTATAGAATTAATTAAGCAACGTGCAGTCAAACATGGGTGTGAAAGTTGTGAAATTTTGACGACGGCGAGATACCCGGAGTCGTCCGTGCGTGACGAGCGACCCTATCTGACAAACAGTTAGGTTCAGTAGAGCAGAAAATTGCTGATGTCGACATATACCAAGGTAAATTTTGCTCTTGGGACTGTGAATATACGTCGAGATAACCCGGGTTGTCGACATTACCGAGGTCGACATATCAGAGTTTTTGCAAATCATATATATGTAAATACTGCCGGGACCGCGAAAGGACGTCGACATATCCCAGGTTGTCGACATATCTATATATATATATATATATATATATATATATATATATATATATATATATATATATATATATATATATATATATATATTAGCTATTCATATTTGATCAGCAATAATTCTAACATATTTGTTGCACTCCTGACCAAGAGCATGGGAGTCTTTAAAGTAAAATTGTGAAGCGAAAATTACATCAGAACTTGTTCTGTTGTTTCAGTGAAGTTGAGGTGGAATTACTTGAATTTAATAACAATTTTCAGAGTGTTTATTTCTTACATTCATAAAAAAAATCAAAGAAAAGATAAGAACACATCTGAATTGATAAAATTGAAAAACAGAAGGATTTCAATAATATTACTATCAATAAATTTGTATTAAATTATTCGAATAGATCATTACTAATTAAAGAATAATTTTTAGCATGAATAGAAGTCTATTCATCATATAACTTGAATCTTAAAAAAAAATTTTTTTACACTTCTGACCAGAGAAATATAGATCTGAAACACAGACAGACCCTGTAATTGAAAAATCTATTTGGTAAAAATGTTCTTTGTTTCTTTATTTTCCAAAATAGAAATCATAGAATCATATATTGATAAAAGTTTTTTCCCATGCTAAGAGGCAAAACATCAAATGTTGCACTCCTGACATTATTGGGTATGCAGACACTTGACTCTCATTAATGCTGCTTGTGATTTATATCACATTTTTAAGTTTTAAATTATATCAGTTAATGTTTTACACTTTGAAATTTTTTTGACTTAATTGTCTTTCAGATTTTTAAAATCGATGTTCTTTTTATTGGGGGGGGGGGGGGGATGGGGGGCAACATTACATTTTTTTCTGATGCACTTCTGACAAGGTATAACATTTTTTCAACATCAACCATGACCACAGCTTGGTCAATCAAAAATTGCTACAGTCTACATTTAAAGCTTAATACTTTGACCATTATCAGGAAAGTATTTCCTACATAAACCAATAATATTTATTTCACAGATCTTAAAAAGTATTGAATTTTCAAAATGTCACAAAATGGTGTTGCACTCTTTACATTTTTAGCATCATTTTGGGGCATTACCTTTTAGTGAATTGAGATATCAATAAGATATTTGGCAGGTATTATTTAGACACTATTTTAAGACATATGCTAGGACATAGAAATTTATTCCCATTGTCTGTGTTTTTAGTGCAGGTTGATATGTGTTTGGTCATTTTTTTTAAATTCATCCTTATCTAAATTGTAAACTTGTATAATCGATTTCTAAGTTGTGCAAACAATTTTGAAAATTTACAAACGATTTTCTAAATTATCTGAAAGGTTTTGAAAAATTCAACGTATGAATTTCTCAATTGTACAAATTTTAACAATCGTGCAAACAATTTTCTAAAATATTTGAAACAAAAAGTGCATGCTCCTACAAACCATTTTTAAGTTTTGCTAATAATTTCAAAAAATTCCACAACGATTTTTTGAATAGTCCAACGTTTTTGAAAAATTGCACAAACGGTTTTCTTAATTGTACAAAAGAATTAAACAATCGTACGAACAATTTCCTAAAATGAAAAAAAGGTTTGAAACAAAAAAAATATGCGTACTCATACATGCAACGATTTCTAATATTGTGTTCATATTGGAGAAATTTACTCATGAGTACATGAGTGCATTTATACAGCGACATGTGCTTACTTGAGTATACACATATGCAAATCATTTGCTTACGAGTAAAGCTCGATATCTATACATGGCATAATTATAAGTAATGCAAATAATTTTACAAATTAAACAAACGATTTACTAAAGGTCTACCGAATTTAAAAATTGCTCAAACGATTTTCTAAATTGTACAAACAATTTTAACAGTTGTATAAATGTACAATTTTCTAAAAATGTACGATTAAAGAATTGTGCAGACGAATTTTTTTCTGCTAAATTGAAAAGGCATCGATACGTTGAACCCATGGCTTTAGAGAATCTATTTTTCTTACGTCTCTTTTTTTCATTATATCAGTATAGACTCATTATACTGACACAACCTGGTAATTCAGATATTTTGTTTTTCAATCATGCAGGCGTAAGTGCGATTTTTAAAGGAATACTAGTTTTACACACAACATGAACGAAGTAAATATTGAGGAAAAAATAACTTACAATCAATAGTATACTAACATGACTGACTACATGTGAAGTTCATAGGTCTGACGAAAAACTGGAATAATCATCTCAAAATATTAAAAACAATGAGCCACATATCAGCAGCTTACCTTAATGCATTGCAGTGATACTAAAGCGAGGAAGAAGGCAGTTCCGTACCGCATTTTCTGAGATCAAAAACTCAAGTTCTGGTATTTTGGTTTCACGGTCTACCTATATATAGGTTGCTATAAACCATGGATTTAAAAAAAAAACCATTTAAATGTAGAACGTAATGTAGAACATAATCGTTAACTTAGCGTCTTGCACGACCTCTTTTTTTACAGAGATATAGATAGCATTCGATGTAAAATCACATGCTTGTGACTAACCTACTAGCTTTTTCATTCATAAAATTCGAACGTCGGGTACCTCTTTTTCTAAATTTTAAAATAGACTTATGAGTAACTCATGTGAGGAAACGCTATACTTCAAGTGTCCTGTAATTTTTTTTATATAAATTGAAGTTTGATGGGCTAGCTTTGCAATTTCAGTTATAGAACTAAATTCTTGGTGCATGCTAACAGTACAAATACTTTAAGATTTGTTGACATGGTTGCGTTATATGTTACATGTATATATCTGATATTAGCAATGAAAAATAATCTCATATTTGTATAAAAAAAAAATAAATGAATAAATGAATAATCAAGTAATTAAATCAATATTGAATTCATTTCTATTTCCCTGACTAGAGGTCCACATTGCGAGAGAGAGAGAGAGAGAGAGAGAGAGAGAGAGAGAGAGGGATGAGATATTTCATTGCAAAACCTATCTATACTGTACATGGAAACCATTCTTATAGAAAAATGAAATCCATGTTATATTTACAACAAATTTTTTATTACTTATAAAATAAACAATATACATGTATTTCAGAAACCGGTGACATCTGGAAATGCACTTTGAGTGTTTCTTGTTTTCACGGCGGGTGGATGGGGTTGGGGTAAACCGTTGCTTAACCATTGCCTCATCCAAGCTTCCAAACCAAATAACCCTTTACTGTGCGCTTGATTTATTTTATGAGTATCACGAGGGATATCATGTGTTCACCAAATAAGGAGATCTCGTACACATATGCCATTCAAGTAAACAATTGTACCGCCATTTAATGTTTCGAGCTGAAAGAAAATATTTAAAATTCCTTGACATTGTCAATTTTCTAGTTCGGGGTGTTCATAATTAAAAGAATAAAGCATTGAATAGACTGCGGCAAGCTCCATGAGGTACAACCGTTCGAGACCCCCCCCCCTTTCCCAGTAAAAAAAAACAATTGTACTGATCACATGTTTTGTAAGTATAAAATCTATCCATTGTGAAACAAAAAGCGCAGTTCACATAATGCCTAATTTTGATCTGTTACTTTTGAAAAAAAAATCAAATTCTGTTTCTGGACAACACTTAGAAATAAAACATTAATGTTCACAATAAAAACAGTAAAATTGAATAATCTCTTGTCATTTATTTCTTTTACGATTTATAAATATAAAATGAAATGCAGATTTCAAAAAGAAAACTTTTCTATCGAAATAAGATCTTTTTTAGATCAACTTTTTACAAAATGTAATTCTAATGAAAGCAGTATGATAAATGATATTATGTCTAGAAGCAAGCAATATTATTTGCGATTTTGATACCTATAATATGTTTCTTTATGTATTGTTTGTATTTGAAGTCTTTATGAGATCTTCATCATTGTCTCTGTGGATTATCTAGTGATTGAAAATGTATTCCAAGCTACGCAACACGTTGCAACCGTATTGAAATAAGTTCTAATATTGAAATAATTATTATTTCAATTATTGTTGACATTGTATGAAATGTATGGAGATAACGTACAGTATTCAAGTTCAAAAATCCATTAAACAATACAAATTTTGGAGTAGAGCAAACACGGACCTCAACACCATGATCGGGAAATAACGGAAAAAACGGGGTTTATATCTCTCAGTTGATTCAATACCAAGAATATATTCTACGTTTGAACTATTTCTAAAACGAGGCAAACTATTTTTTAAACAAATTGATGAAACAAGGATATCAACAGTCTCGTTTGAAGTCATCATTTCGCAAGTTTTATGGTCGATACAATGATCATGTCAGCACATACTACGTATCATTAAGTCAAATCCTGACTGATGTTTTTCATACTGATTGTTAGGCCATTACTTATACACTGAACTGCTTACGGATTTTTCCGGGGGGAAGGGGGGGGGGTTCCGATCATTACAAGGAGCACACGGCGGGTGTGACCTTTCGTGTACTCCTCCATTGCACCTGATCCCACCTCTAAATTTTGAGGTCCGTGTTTACTCTGCTCCATATTTGTATCGTTTCATTGGACTTTCGAGATTGAATACTGTTCGTTATCTTCATATTTCATTGTAAATCATGTACAAAATATGTACAAAATATGAAATCTTGTATTGATATCTTTTGCGTCTCTTAAGACATATATGACAATCTGTTGGAGATTTATTTCATAAAAGCCTATGATTGGAAGATGTAAGAACTGAAGAATCATGAATTCTTCTCTGAAATCATTCTGTGTACGGTGACAATGCTAGACAATTTGTAGATCCATGGTAAGTTATATATATAGTATATAATGTGAGAAAGCATTGCTTGCTGAAAGTCGCTAAATTTTCCTGCATGGTCAAAGAAATCTTCCACCATGCAACAACTTAACTGCTAGAGATGTTTTTATGAGAACGGGGGGGGGGGGGGGGGATAACATCCCTCATTGCAAAAGCCACTACTATACATTGATAAAATTTTACATTTCATTGAGGTATAATGGGTCGTTTCTAGATTTTAACAAACAATTTTGCTCAATTATTACCATTCTTTTGATAACTTAGAACTTTCACAAAAAAACAAAAATAAAGTTTCGATAAATCTACATTTTGAAGCGAGGGATAATGTCAAAACCGGAAGTGCTATTGATAAAGCATACCCATGGATAAAGCATAGGTTTATCCACAATATGTATGAGATGAATAAACACACACACGCACACGTATATGTTTTTTCACTTGCCTTGTGGTACAATTAAGACTTGGCTAGAGAGACTTGGCTATACAACTGGCTATTTGCCACTTGTCACTACCTACAGCATGTCCCCTAGTCACTCTGGCTCTCTGTGATAACGTTTTCACTTTGATAAAGTATAAAACAACTTTATGTAGTCTCTTGCAATTGCCGACTAAACTCTGATCTCCCTGACTTTAACTACTGGTCACGGTAGCCTATTGGTAGGGCGCTTGCTTCGTGTTCGAAGGCCCGGATTCGATTCTTGTTCGCCTCACCGCGTCAAACCTTAGTAGTATACATAGGTAGTGACCGTTCCTTTGCCAAGCGCCCGGCACTAAACGTGAAAGTCATGGGTCTTTCGGGTGAAACCTTAAAAATTAAAAACCAAGGTCCCTTGTCAGGGTTGGCGTTGGCACGATAAAGAACCTTCACTGCTCAATGGCCCTGAGTGCCGAGAATAGGTATAAATTTGAAGCGTATACGGTGACATCTCTTTATGAGTGAAAAATTCTCGAAAGGGACGTTGATCAACATGCAATCAATCCATGACTTTACCTGACAATAACTAATCAATTGTCAAACGGGACACCACAGAATACAATTGGCCCTCTTGCTACATAAATAATTTTTCTGCCATTCTTTTATATTGTTTTTCAGGCAAGTATTTATGTACAAGTATTTCTTGATTAACACAATTTAGCAAATCGGAGTAATTTTCATTTGCTTCACATATTACAATTTTGTACTCGCTTTGCCCTCTGGATACGCAGGAGCAGAGTAAAGGCCCTTATATTTATATTCATACCTATACATTAATAATATTGCATTTAGTTTGTTTGCTTAATACTCAGCGGCAGAGGAGAAGATTTTCAACGTTTTAATGCATTTTTTGCTATACAATCAATAGAGCCCCACCCTTACACCAGAACCCCTGACCAAGAGGCCATGTAATTCGCAATTTTTGAAGAGGCACCCTTCATCACCATAACTATGTACAGTGTACTTAATTCATGGCTTAATACCAAGGAACAGAAGAGAATAGTTTCAAAGCATTAATGCCTTTTTGCTAATAATCAATAGAGCCCCGCCTTAACACTAGAATCCCTGACCTGGGCCATGAAATTCACAAGTCCTTCATCATCATAACCATGCACCCAATTTATTGACTTAATAACCAGGAGCAGAGAAGATTTACAAATCAATAATGCATTTTTCACTATATAAACATTAGAGCTCAGTCCTAATACCAGGATCGACCTCTGATCCAGCGTCTATGAAATTCTTAAATTTGGAAAAAGCACCCTTCCTCATCATAACTTTGTACTCAGTTCATCAGTTTAATACAAAGGAGCAAAGGAGAAGATTTTTAAATAAATCATGCATTTTCATTATGTATTCAACAGAATCCCGCCCCAGCACCAGAATCCCTAACCCTGGGGTCATGAATTTCACAATTGTGGTGGAGAACTCGATGCTAAAATACAATCATGTCAACAGTTCAACTGCTTGATGTCCAGGAGATAAAGATGGAGATTTTAAAAGATAACACTAATTTTGATGGTTTAAGCTCAACTCCTCAGGCCTCAGGGATCATGAAATTTATAAGAATTGTTCCCCTTACTCATATATTTTGTACGCCAAAATTGGTTGTTATTGGTTTAGCGGTTCTAAAGAAGAAGCTGAAAATATCCAAATGTTAACGGATGATGCACATCGCACAACACACAACGTACGACGACGAAAGAAAATAGATAGTAATAGGTCACTTGGCGACTCAGGGGACATAAAAATTAATTGAATGAAAATTTATGTAATATCCCCCTAGGCAAAAGGGCATACCTATTTCAATCATTACATCATCTGAGCACAGTGGGACCTGAACTTTTAGATTATATCATACCTTAAGCTTTATTTTGCAACCACATTATATTGCGATCTGCTACTACATGGAAATGCATCTTCAAATGAAACAACAATTATGTTACAAGTTTAAAAAAATTCATTTACATTCTGTATAACTGTTATATGTGATCGCTACTGCAAAAATAACATGAAAACAGCTCCAGGTTCAATTTGCATTTTATTTGGTTTTTATGTACAGGATAAAAATGGGAATAGCCATATAT